GAAGAGATTTCAGTAGAGAGAATTCTTCTGGGTTACCACTAAATATTATGCGTACAGCCTTAAAAACTTGCAATCTACTGAGGTTAGGTATCTTTGAAACCACTCCTTTGAGTAGTAGCTTCATTTGACTTGCCAAAAACTCCTGCAGTAACTTTGATACCTCACCAGCTGCATGTTCCAATGGATCTTTTTTCGCTTTCTTATTTGGATGCGAGTCAGAAGTTGAAGTTTACGGATTTATACAAGCATGAGAGTTAGGAATCAACTTGCCGTTATTTTCTTCTTCAGCCTCCATTATTTCTTCAGCACAAGCACAGAGAGAGTAAACATCAAAGAGAGCAAAAACAGCACAAGAGAAAAGATTCGTTTTTCTTATATTGTTTACACACAAAGATATTAAACTGACAGAGTATTTGGTAACAAGCAGAGAGAAAGCAAACATTTGATTCTAATCTATCTGAATTCTGAAGTATAACAGCATTTACTATTACAACCAGAAAGAGACAAAATGTGATGAAGTTCATACCTCATTGTCACATGAAGTATCTATGTACAATGTCAAATACAGATTACAGGGATGTGGGAACATTGTAAACTTTTCCAAAAATAATAAGATCCCTCCATCACTTTATACGTTTTCAAGAACAGAGGCAACTAATTTTCGAAGACATAAGCCTCCTGTATAAACTCTTTTACACACACATATAACTTAACATCTGTCTATTAAAGCCTCGTTAATGTCTGTCTATTAGCATTTGACTGACCTGCAGATGGCTGTTTCGTAGAAGGTGGGATGCCCGAGTGGGTGGAAACGGGGCGCACATCACCCCTGTGCTCAGCAACGTCATTGGTAAGTAGGGCCATACTGGGCGTGTGGCTCACTACCGCTTGAGGCTGCTTGACTGCAGGAGAAGATGGAGTAAAGCTATAGCCAAAAATATCCATTTTGTCCAAAGGTGACCAAGGAGAATAAAGCTTATCCGTAGGCTCAACTGGCACGTGAGAAGCCATGGCGAAAAGGAGGCGAGCTCTATCAGGGCTAAGCAAAGAAGGGATAACGTGACAAGGAGGATCGATATTATATCTCACTATGCTGTTAAGCACTTTGTACAAATCACTCAGTCGATTTTCAGGCAAAACCCTGACCCTCTTGTTCCAACCCAAAGTAGATTTCACCAACTTCAAGTCAAGATTGTCAACAAGAAGCCCAGGAAAACCAGGTGATTTTTCATTTGGGTTTGGCCTAGCAAATTTAAGCAACTGTGCAATGCCAGAAACAGAGAAATTCAACACCTTACCTCGCAAATACACATCAAATGAGTCAGGGTATTCTCGACCGCTGGAGAAATGCAGAGTCTCATCCCACAAACAAGTATCAAAAGGGCCCAACCCAGGTGGGTTTTTCTGCTCGGCGGAGAAAGGAGGAATGTTTGCGTAGAATTCTCGGACAATCTGGATATTAGCAGGCTCTGAAGGACCCATTGCCAAAAGCCAACCTCTTGATTTGAAGATTCTGGGAAGCCCAAGATCCTCGAAGTCACTCAATTTGACCTCCCGCTCAACCGTCACACGTTGAACACTGAAGATTTTCTTGTAGCGGTTCATTGCTTCCGAATTCTTGAACTTACTTTCATCAATATCGTCATCAACATAAGCTCGCCCCCTACCCATCAAATCAATAATATCCAATTACAACGAAGTAGTAGTTTTAGAAGCTTTGAGCAAAAAATGGGTGTGAGTTGGATTGAAGGAGGAGTATGACAAGAGAAAATGACGTTTGAGTTGAGGGAAAATGGAAATTCCGAAAATGAAAAATATATACCGGTATTCTTCCAGGGGAGTGAGGGGGAAAAAGAGGGAGGAAATGGGAGGGAAACTTTTTCATAAACGCGCCACTTTAATTTTACGTTCAGAAAGTTGATTTTAAAATCTCTACTATTTTGCCCACTTGGCCTGAAAAATCAGTCCGCTATCCTGGACAAAATGCATGTGAAAGAAGAGCATCCAAATCAGATCGCATTTTTTTCTTCTTATTTTTTTGTTGAGTTGGGATTAATGGATGAGAAGACGTGGGGCCCGTGTCGTCAAGACACATAACGAGCTCGGATGAAAGGATCGTAGGAATCCAACGGCTTCCTCCAAACTAGTGTTTCGTTTTCTTTTCCAATTTAATTTCTATCGTTATATAATACCTAACGGCTAAGATTTAATTTGAGCAAATCCAACTGTACAAAAACAAATCCAATGGCTCAAAATCAAATCCAATGGCCAAAATAGTATTATTAAATAATCAAAATCAAATCAAACACCAAAACTCACTCCAAACACTATAATAATTCACCAAAATCATTTTTTGTTCATTCTCACTTTGTTAATTTTGGTAATTCTCTCTTCATTCTTATTGAAGAGAAACCAATTAAGTGTGAAATTACATTATGTTTTGGAATTTAAATTTTTTAAGGTTAAATAATTAGAAAATTAAATCACGAAAGTTTAAACAAAAAATTTGTCAAGAAAACTTAATGGCAAAAAAAATTAGGAATTAACCATTCTTAAACAATTTAATAAAGTTATGTTTGAGTCAGTATGGTTGGAGGAAAAAATGATTTGAGTCCGAACAATATATGAATAGTTGTATTTTAGAGTTTTGTTTAGTGTGTTTCATGGTGAGCGATATTCTTGAAAAAATCATTGAGAAAGTAAATATCAAAGAGAGCAAAAACAGCACAAGTGAAAAGATTTGTTTTTCTTATATTGTTTTTTCATAGAACCACGATAACTAGACACACGAAGATATTAAACACACAAAGTATTTGGTAAAAAGCAGAGAGAAAGCAAACATCTGATTCTAATCAGTCTGAATTCTGAAGTATAATAGCATTGACTAAACCAGCAAAGGTGTGAAATGCATCGTGACTATTATAACCAGAAAGAGACAAAATGTGATGAAGTTCATACCTCATTGTCACATGAAGTATCTGAGTCGTTAATTTTATTATCTATGTACAATGTCAAATAATAAGACCTCTCCATCACTTTATACATTTCCAAGAACAGAGGCAACTAATTTTCAAAGACAGAGCCATTATCGCATTAGTAGACATACTTCATGATTTATCTTTCACACTAAACCTTAAAAGAATACATATGTAATTGCTTACTATAAGTTCAACTCTGTTACAAAACCTCATAAATGGGTACCAAAATCTTTTAATTTACAAATATTAAGATCCTCTTTACCCAGTAATGGAACCATAGTGTCAAAAACAACGTATGTAAAATGCAATTGTCAAGCCAGAAGATATAAATTGCATATTTCCCTCTGTGATTACTAACTCCTTATCTGATAATTGCAAGATACTTAGAAGAGTTTAGTCACTAATATATGCTGGAATGATTAATTTTGTTTGATGACAGTGTTGATGCTTTAGAAACATAATATTATCCAAAAGAAAAAAAAAGATATTTAAATATTACGATTCATAGTTGGTCATGAGCCTCCACAATGGGATTCTTCTATTGGCACTAAAACTGAACAGATAGAGATGAGTGCAACTTACAAGTAGTGAGGACGATTTAGTAGATCGATTGAGTGATAGATGCAGATTCTTCCTGTCCTTGGATGTAGATCCTGAATGGAAGAAAGCCGAGACTCGTGAGGTCTATGGAACCGGTGTGGAACCAGCCTAAGACCCTCCGATGCCAAAGTAAGTTTGTTTTTTTAAGAGCTTTTGCTGTTGACAAGATATTAGTATAAAAGTCAAGCTGAAAAGTCTTACCCCTGTATTGTAGTGAAGGGGCTTATTTATAGAGGGCACTTTGTATGCTCTTAGTACTTAATTTCGATGTGGGACTCGTGGGAGGGCCCTGTGAGGTTGACACGAGTCTTTAGATATTTCGGGCGGGTGCTTCGAGGTTGATTCTGTATAATCGGTAAGGGATGCCGATTGTAGACAAGGTTGGGCCTGTAGCGACTGTTTGCGGCTTTGAGACAATGTCATCGGTAGCCGATGCCGATTGTTCGAGGCCTTGAGTACTTGGGTGAGTTTCTCTGATCCACGTGTCGTTGTATGAGTGGAGGGTCAGATATGGTACAAACAGTAGTCCCCCAAGTTACCGATTGAGAAGCTTCTCGGTTGGGGACTTGAATCTGTCTTCGGCATTCTGATCCGGACTCGATGATCTCATTGTTGCCGATGGTGGTATGTAGTCCCCCAAGTGCCCGAGCAAGTGAGTTTGGAAAAGAGACGGCATTCGGTACTGAATGGTCCGAGAGGCTAGTGTAGGTCAGGGTTTAGGAACGCCTGCCGTTCGGCACGAGAGGTGAGTGGGAACTCATTAATAGTGCACTGGCCGTT